ATAATAATTTTCATTCTCTTTCTCTTAGAGCTGAGTAATCAACATCAATTTTTCCTCTTACGACAATACTTCCTCTCCCAGTTCGATATACATCCAAGATCCTTGACAAAATGATTAAATCTCATGACACTAATCATAAAATAGTTTCAGGATTTAAATAAGGCAATGCCGCATTGAAAGAATATGTTTCAAACAATAATGATACTCAACCACAATGTTTGATGGAAATCATAAGCATGATTTGATGTCCAATTTGAATTGGAATACTCACTGGCTGGTTGACATGCTTCTTCTCCTTTTCTTTATTTACACACTTTCAAAGAATAATGAAGATCCTCGGATAAGTACTTTAGTGGCTTTTCTTTCTTATTCTCTTTCTATGATGTTTCACTAGAGTTCAGCCCATGTTCCCTACAAAGTCTCTCTCAGTAATCCAAAATAAAAAAACCAAACCAACAAAACCTAAACTAAACTAAAAGCAGCAGTGTAAAAAGCATAAAAAAAAAAAAAAAAAGCAAGAAAAAGAGAGGAAGGAGTTCAGCCCATGTTCTGTTTAGGTTTCATGGCTGAGGAGAAAAGAATGACCACAAAGATTCGTGTAAGAGTAAACGACGTGTTCCCACCCAACGTTTAGTGAAATGGCAAGTCTCCACCCTGCTTTCATAAATTCCAAATTTCCACCCTAGTTTTGTTTCTTTCACTAGTTGAAGGCTAAAATAGTCCTTTATTATATTTTAATATTTTACCAAATTCCAGAATTTGATTTTGTGCATTCTCTTTTCCTTTACCGTGGCTCTTTCTCCCTCTTTGTTCATTTCGTTTTCTCCCTCTCTCTCCCTCTTTGTTCCTATCGTTTTCTCCCTCTTTATTTATTCTCTATATCTACAGTTTCTTTTGTATCTGTCTTATGTGAAGAAAAAAAAGTTTATTTGCTTCAGATTTTGATGTCTATCTCTTCTCTATCAAATGCAATTGTTTATACTATTTTTAGTTATTGGAATGGTGACAAAATTGAGTTTCAAATGGAGCAAGGCAATGGCTGGGTTTCTCTAGTGGTTAACGGCAAGGATAAGTAGCAAATGTGATGATCTTGATTTATTTGGGTTATCTTGATTTGTATGTTGTTTTTGGTTATTATTGGTGACGGTGGAGTATGGATTTTCTCTCGGTTTGTGCAAGGGTAAATGGGTGATAGAGGAATCGCATCCGACTGGGTGCGATTCTGGCCAAATTGCATGCGGCCGTATGCGAATCGATTGGAATCTCACCGGATTGGATGCGATTTGGCCGGATGGGAGATGAAGAAGATGAAGACAGGAGGAGGAGGAGGGGGAGATGATAAAAAAGAAAATGGGAGATGTGACCGGGTGCGATTCCCACCAAATCACATCCGACTGAGTGCGATTCAGGTGAAATTGCATTCGGCCGAGTGTGATTCCGGCCAAGTGCGCTTCATCTTTTGATTCTTTCTTCTTTTTGGTTACCTGAGCAAATTTTTTTCTGTATTGTAGCGGAATTTTTAACAAAAAGAGAAAACTACTTGCGACACACAAGCTATAAGAAGTAGAGATTGGGAAGAGTTTATTTCACAGCTTCAAAAGACTGAATTGAATTAGCCTCATAGAACTGCTAAAGCCCTTGATCTGAATCTCTGGAACTTAAAGAAGACCAAGGTAGCTTGCTATCTCGATTCATCATAAGCTTGGGTTCTTTCTTTCCTAAAATCAAGCTGCTAAAGCCTTTAAAGCCCGGAGCTGGACTTCTAATGCCTGACTAGATTCACAATTAATCACAATAAACCAGACCCTAACCAGGGTGAGAAAGGGTTTTTCATATATATGTAACAGACAGGCTTGTTTTCTTTAAAAATTAACTTAACAATTTGGTTTAATTAGCTGCCTTGCGCGATTTGGCAGGATGGAGTTAGGGGAGATGAAGAAGGTCCGGTCTCAATCATTTTTCTATTTTCTTTAAAAGGGAGAATTTTCTTGGGGACGGGAAGAAAAAGAAAGAAAAGCGAGGAGGGAACTAGCGGTTGGAGAGAGAAAATAGTAGCGTGTTAATATAATTGGGAGGGCAATTTGATAATAGCATCTCTATATATGTAACAGTCACTAACCATGTTAATAAAAGGGTGGGAATTTGGAATTTATAAAATGGTGAGAACTCGCCATTACGCTAAACCTTGGTGGGAACATATCGCTTACTCTTTGCGTAATCAAGAAGATAATGAGGATGAAAATAAAGAGAAAGTACTTGAAATATATATTTAATGTGAACAATAATGCTATGGATACTGGGACTACACCGAATTTTTACACCGAATTATGTGTCCTGTGACTCACACCAACCACGTTTCACGTTTATAAATATTTTGCTAGTGAACGGTTGTTCATCAACTATGAACGGCCATTCACTTATGATGGACGGGAGTCCACATTTAAAGGACTCCCGTTCATCAGTAAATGGAAAAAACAATGTAAACAAAAATAATGGACGGCCGTTCATAGGTTATGGACGACCATCCCTAAATAAAGGACGAGCATCCACATATAATGGACGCCCGTCCAATCTTTAAATAATAAAATTTATATAAACAAAATTAATGGACGGACGTTCATATGTTAATGGACGCCCGTCCATTATTAATGGTTTTAAAAAAATTATAAACAAAATTCAGGGACGCCCGTTCATATATTATGGGCGGCCGTCCCTGAATAATGGATGGGCTTCCACAAATAATGGACACCCATCTAGATGTTAAATTGAATAAAAATTATAATCCATCTACAGTTGCTTGGTTATCATACCCTTGATTCTATTCACTACAAAAGATGCTCTCTGATTTCTCAGCATTCTTGAGCGACACATCATTACCTTCACTCAGTTTCGATTCTTAGATCTCCTTTTCCTAGATTTTACTTCAGTTTGTATTCCTGGCAACCGGTTTGCATTCACTTCAGTTATGGTTTCCTGCAACCCATTTGCGCTCACGTCAGTTATTGATCCCTGCAACCCATTTGCATTCACTTCAGTTTTTGTTCCTCGCGACACGTCTACACTTGCTTGTCTACTAGCTCTCTCATTTGTTTCCCCTGACAAACTACTCTCCAATTTATCAACACACTTGTGAGGGAAATCACCACCTTCACTTGTTTTCTTTTTCTTATGTCTTCGTTTACTTTTTCCAGATTTCACTTCAGCTATTACACCCTACAACCCATTTGCATTCACTTCAGCTTTTGTTCCCTGCAACCCTTTAACTTCAATATTTACTCCTTAAAGACTATTTGCATTCACTTCAGGTTTAGTTCCCAGAAACCCATTTGCATTCCCTGGATCCCATGGCAGTTCAGCTAATTTATAAAGTTCCTCCTTAACAAAATTGTAAAGCTAAACCCATAACAGTTCTTCATCCCTGGAGTTCATTTCTACCAAATTCTACATCTTGTTTCTTCTCTATCTCCTTCTGTTTCAATTCTTTTCATTAATCCAAGCTCAACATACGTAAACAACTATCAACTTGATTGCTATGATGAGTCCACTGTTAACCTTATAAGAGGTTTCGTCTGCAATGGAGTTGAGTCCTCATGCTAATCTTATCTCACCTTCAGATCAAATCTTCCCTACAACTCACCTCTCTCTATAGCGTATTTGTTAGCTTCCAAGCCCGCCCTTATCACTGCCTTCAACGGGCTCCCCTTCGACATCGCCACCGTGCCCAGCAACGCCATGGTGGTGGTGCCGGTGAACTGCTCTTGTTCTTCTTTACAACTCTACTAGCACAACGCCGCTTAAACGATTCTCGACGACGTCGAGAACTACTACACCATTGCTAATGAAACCTACCAGGGGCTCACCACTTGCCGAGGCATGATGGAAGCGAATTCTATAGATTCCAGGAACTTAAGCGTGTGTGACAACTTGACGGTTCCACTTAGATGTGCTGGTCTGACGAGGAAACAGGTGGCGTCTGGTATGAAGTTTTTATTGAACTACTTGGTAACTTGGGGTGATTCCATTTCTCAAATTGCTAAGCTTTTTAATGTGATTGATCAAAGTGTTCTTGATGCTAATATGTTGAAGGAAAAAGACCTTATATATCCCTTCACCCCAATTTTAGTTCCGCTCATAACCGAGCCCACCAAGATTGATCAAGCTGTGCCATCTCCTCCTCTGGTGAGACCTCTACAGATGCCCGCCAACGCTATCGTTCATTCCACCTCTTCTTTTAAGAAATGGGTGTTTGTGGGCGTTGGAACTAGAGCCGGTCTGTTGTTGTTATTGACCCTTTTGACATCTCTATTTTGCTTCTATAATAAATTTAAGTCGAAGCTTGTTTTGATTTCAGAACCTATTAAGTCAAATGAACAATGGACGGCTGTACTTGAAATTTGTTTAGAATTTTTTAAAACCATTAATAATGGGGGTGTCCATTAACATATGAACACCCACCCATTAATTTTGTTTATATAAATTTTATTATTTAAAGATTGGACGGATGTTTATTATATATGGATGCTCGTCATTTATTTAGAGACGATCGTTCATAACCTATGAACGGTCGTCTATTATTTTTGTTTATATTGTTTTTTCCATTTACTAATGAACATGCGTCTTTTAAATGTGGACTCTCATCTATATAAGTAAACGGCCATTCATAGTTGATGAACGTCCGTTCACTAGCAAAATATTTGTAAATGTGAAATGTGATTGGTGTGATTCATGAGACATATAATTTGGTGTAAAAATTCGGTGTAGAGTCCCGGTGCCTATAGCATTATTGTAATGTGAATGTTATCGTGAAACGTTTCTGATTATGTGAATATAAAGGATTAGATACTTCACCAACCAATTATATTAAGCCACATGTAATTAAATCCACCAATTTAACGCAGCCACGTGTGAACAATCATTCATCAAAACCTTCTAACATGTCAAAATCCACCGGTTTTAAAACTTTAAAACTCTTACATGTCAGTCAAACAAGCAAGTTATATACACACTAATTAGGGGTTCAATATTGTTCTCGTAAAATTGGCGCCTCTGATTTCAAAAATTAATGCACGGATTTAGTTTGATTTTTATTTGATTTAAATTTAAATTTAAGTTTTTAAGAGAGAGAGAAAGAAACCCTAGAATCAATCTAGAGAGAGCAAATGATTGTGAGAACGCCACCACCGAAGAGGCCGAGAGCGCCCGACGTCGACAAACCTATCGTCGAGAGTCCGCCTGGCAGCGGCGGCGGAGGCGGAAGCTCCGGTCGCCGCCTCGTCATCTATGAAGATCCTCCGGTAGCTGCGGTGGCACCAGAGTCGTCTCATCAACCGTCCGATCAATATCTCTGCACTTATCAGTGCCGCCAAATGGTACGATCACTGTTGTTGCGAGCTTAGTCATCAAGGTTAAGTTTAGGCACTTAGGAACGCATTAATTCAAGTGCTATTTCAATAAGTATTGCAAGTGAAAAGTGCTTTTAGAAATGCAAAAATTGAGTGCTTTCAAAAATGTACTCGTATACTTTTTGGTTTTGGAAGAGAAAACACTTGCATAGTTCACTCGAACACTACAAAATGAGTGTAAAGCACTTTAGATTATTTAAAAGAGACGCATTATAAATGTTCGATTTATTGTGATTTCAGAACTTTTGGTATTAAGATTTGATTGCTTCACTTGTTTGGTCTATAGAGTTTGATTGTTTAAATTTGTTCTATATATAAAATTTTTCAGTATTGCATTTGAATTACATAACTCTGTCTCGTTTTTGTAGGTTAAATCAGATTTCATTGATGCTTTAAGCAATACAGAGAAGCAAGTTCGTGACTATGAAGCTAAATTGGAGGAATTAAATGGAAAATTTTGCAAAACGGGTGCGTTTTCTTAGAAAGGGATTACAATATATCTGTAAACATTGCCTTTATTCTAAAATTTTGTATTTCTCTGAGTTATTTTAGAGTAGGTAAGGTTTGACAGCTTTGGTTTATTCTTTGAGTTATTTTTTTTTTCTTCAGGCTAGTATTTCTGATAAACCCTAAGAGAAAAATGATTTTGAAAAGTTTCTATAAAAGAATAGGACAAATTACCAGGGATAATAGACGGTAAATTTCTAAAAGAAGTTAGCAAAGCTATCTTCATAATCTAGGATAAGAAACTTGATGATCTCCTACTCTTATTTTGCTGCTGAATTTTTTTTTCATTTGTTTAATTCTCTATGGATTGCTGTGCAAATTTTTATGAGTGAGTGGTATAAATATTCTTTTCTGCTTCGTTTCTACTCCTGACATTTGTATCATAGAATTGGCATTAGTCTGTCTTGCTAATGTGGTTTAATTCTCGCAGACGCTGAGAGGAAGAAATTTAGGGATCAATTCTTATATGCAGAACAAGAGCTTGCTGCTGCTAAAGGACGGGAGGGGGTGCTACAGGAGAATCTTCTGAAAGAAGTTACAGATTCCCAGGAACGACTGAGAAAACAAATACAATTATGTAGTGAACTTGAGGTACATTTTCATGGTTACTTTTGTGAAAGGAATATACACACTCTATTTGTCTTGTATCCTTTTCTTCTATTAGGGAGTTCTGGTCCCTTATAGATTTCCGAATCAATTAATCATTCATTTTCTTTTTTTGTAGTTTCAGTTCTATTTTGTGCTATTTTGAGTTTTAATGGTCCTTGCTGTGTAACTGCAATTGCTTCACTTAGTTCAGCTGTTCTTTTATTTTTTATGTTCAAATCCTCAAGTCTGTTTTTCAGTAATATTACAAAACTTATAAGTTATAGTGATGTGATCTTGTGTGATGATGAACTTGGGTGTAGTCATGAGAACTAATGATGAGAAAAGAGAAAGATTTTCTATTAGAAGGAACAGAAAAGAAAAAAAAAAAAAAATCCATACGTGTCCAGAAAAATTCTTCCCATACTTATTAATTATTGCCAATATCATCATATGATTTACACTAACTTTATGCTTCCTCTTTTATATCTTTTGAATGTTTTTTTATTTCTATATTGTCATGTCAAATGTGAAACCAAGTCAAATTTCCCCATTGTTGGCATATAGGGAAAGCTTCGAAATGAAAAGAACCTTCGCATGAAAGCGGAATCTGCAGCAACTTCAGCTGAGGAGAAAGCTAGCCTTTTAGAAGGAAAACTAAGCCATGTTTCAGAAAGCATCGAAAGGGAAAAGAAACGCCTTCAAAATGAGCTTACACAGTTGAAGAAGGAATCCAAGTTTTCTATTTCTAGAATAAGTGCAGATGTGAGTAAACTCAACTATTGGTTGAAATGCAATTGGTTTCATTTATGGATATTGTATATCTAAATTAAATTCTGGAATTTACTTGTAGCTTGAAATAATGGAGTGCAAAGCTAATAATGCTGAGAAAGAATCAGAAATACTGAAAGAGCAGTTGGAAGCTCTGAAGGAGCAACTTAATGAGGTTTCTCCCTTTCCTTTTTCATTTTATGTTGTATGTGGGTGTATCTGATGTTTGTTCTTTTTTTTGTCTTTTCATGCCAATTGATATACTTCAATAGTGTATATCTTTTGTTTTTTTTCCATCTATGATGTATATATTGAAGTCATAGTAGCAAGTTGAAATCTCATTTGCTTGACAGTTCATCATAATCTTTTGACTTTTGATGTGATGACTTGTTTTGTTTCTTTGCTGAGAATCATTTATGCTGTTTCATTTTTCAGTGCTTGCAGGAGAAGAGTGAAGTAGAGAAGAAGTTATCAAGTTTCACATTTCAAGAAGTTACTTCTACGGACAATGATATTTTGGTTAAACATTTGCAGGAAGAGATTAGGAACTATGTAAGTTGGATATCTGATTCACTGGTACTTTTTTGTACACTTTCTTTTACTGAGAATTTCCTGTAGTTTTAGTCCAAACTGTATTCATGCTCATAAAAACTACAACCTTACATTTCCCTTATAGAACAATTCCAAATCGACCCTCAACCACCCCTGCCAAACCAACCCCACCTCTGGGCACAAAAAAAAAAAAAAAAAAGAATTTGTTTGTGGTGATGGAGGTGGCATATTTTTACCCTTCCTCGAAGTGTTATAAGTTCTAGAGAGATGGGGTGTTTTCGTTAAATAACATGATGTGTGTGTAGGGATCAGTTCTTTTATATATTTGTTGTATGGCCAAGCAATTATTCTATAGAAACTCTAACTGCTGATGTGCTGAAGTCGAGATCACAATTTAAACAGTATATGATTGTAATGAACTTGCTGCAACGAGAAGAATGGAAATGCCCGAAATTCAAATTAATATTGAAAAGTGATTTTCCATGTGTGCTGAAGAGAGAGCATTCAGGCAAAATCGCATCTATTCTGCATATGATAAGAATTTTGGCTCTGAAACCAGTCATCATACCGCAAGAAACTGGATCTCTCTTCGCTACTTGCTACATTTATATAAATACTTTTCTCATCAGTCATGTTAATTAATATGTTGAAGCTGGATAGTGATCAAGACAAGTGCCGTATCTTATGATTTCACATTTTATGCAAGCAAATTTTTCTTAATTGTATGTTTCATGGATATTTTTTCTTTTATACTAATATATTTGCTTGATTCAACTTCCTATCAGGAGGCTGAGGTACGAGAAGCAAGAAAACTGAAATCAACTCATGAAAACATTGAGTTACTAAAAGAGAAATTGTTGGAAGAAAAGGGCCGCAGAGAGAGAGCTGAAGTAGAACTATCGAAATTGCAAGAAGTTCAGCAAAGTATGAATAAATTAGAGGAAGAATTGTCATCTTGGAAATTGTTGCTTAGGGACATTCCTGGTGTGTCATGTTCTGAAGACATAACTGTGAAGTTTGCAGCTTTGCAGAAGTATGTGGATAGTTACTGTTTTGATAGTTTTGGCTACATAATAGACTGCTTCTTCATGCTTACCTTTCTTTCTGCAATAGGTTGTATTTTAGTTGTTCTGTGACTTGTTTTGGACTGCTTTCTTTTGTTTATCTGGCGGATAGCTTCTTTCCTTTTGATACAATTCCTTTTACTTAAGTGATACAAGCTTATTCTGCTTCATATCACAGAAAGAAAAAAGGGTAGGGTTTTTTCTTTTTGGTTGTCACGCATTCTGGTGCAAAAACAATGCTTGCCCACGCTTGAAGATGGATTTGATGCAGATGTATTCTGTAGTTTGTTCATAACTTTAATTTCGTGTGTGTGATCATGAAGTATGTATAAGTTTTAGTCTGTGATTGAAAGCTGGCAGGTTTTCTTCTTAATAAAGTTTCTGTTGCGTTTTTAACTTCTGGAGTTTTGAATTGCATTTATTTGGGTGAGTATAAGCCGTTGGTTTCTAATGTTTGTGATTTTTTGGTTGAATGCAGGGAGGTTCTTGATAGCATGATGAAGTTAGGCGAGGCAAATGCACAGTTGAAACAAAAGGAGGTGGCATTGGATGCAGCACAACTTGGCAAGCAGAATGCTGAAACTGAGGCTACACTAGCTAAAGAGAAGGCAGAAGTAACTAAATCAGAGGTCAAGCGCATTGAATTGATGGTAATCTTTATTATATGGGCCAATTTTTGCTATTTACATTCTCTAGGAATCTTCTTTTTGTTTCTTCTTCCTCCTTTTTTGCAATTTAAACTAGAGCATTCTTCATTTGGAGGAGTTTACCAGAGGCAGAAATTAGGGAGTCTACTCTGTTTTAATTTGTTGTTGAGTCAAGGCAAGGTCATCTAGATTTACTTTCTTTAACACTCATTTGCCTTGTGAAATAACTGTGTAGCTGTATCTTTACTGCTTGGTTGCTTGATGTAATTGTAATTTGTAGTCAGTATACTGCAAGAACACTTGCCATTACTTGATTCTTTTTCTTGTAGAATTAGGATATGTGGTCATGTGACAACCGAAAGAGACACAGATATGAACTAAATAGGGTTTCATCTTGAACATATGTAGCCATGATAAACTTATAGATTGTTCTAAATCATACTAAATTTGTATAGGGGAGGATCAATCTGAATAAATGTTAAATACAATCTATGAAAAAAGGACTTAAGAATACTTCACATTGGTATTTTGCATATTATACTTTTAAAATATGGATATGCATCATTCGTGAGATGGCTGGAAGCAAGAAATTATGCCATATTAGTCTTGAATTGGTTAGACGAGAGGAAGAATGAATGGGCTACAATTTGATAATCCTTGTGTTTTCATAGTAGTTTTTTAGTGAACACAAGTTATGTATACGTAAATTCTAACGGTGTTGATTATTTGTTGCAGCTTTCTATGGTCACTGAAGAGAGGAATAAGTTAAGAAATATAGTTAATGAATTCAAGAGGCCAAAGAATGATGATGTAGGTGGGGATGAAACGGCTAACAGAACCCTTATTCAGGTACCACAATTCTATTCCTGCTTTCCAATTTGTGCCCCCCTTTTTTTTCCAAATGATTTGTTTCTATCCTTTTGTTTCATTTGTACAGGAGCTTGAATCATCTCTATCCAAGAAGGAAGGTTTCATAGCAGAATTGGAGAGTAATCTACGTGAACAACAAGAAACTAATAATCGTCAACATGATCAAATAAAGTTGCTCAATGAGAGGCTAACCAATGAAGCTAGAAGAATAAAGTCATTAGAGAGGGACAGCGATCGCCTCCGTTCAGAGATCTCTCTTCTAGAGTCCCAGGTATGTGGCAACATATTTGATGGTTTCCTGCACTGATTAGTGAAGCTCTGAATTGCACTCTATAATGGTACTTAAGAAGACCATCTACTATATGAACTTTCCAAATGATGCCTTCATGCACTGCTTTGTTCATGAAATCATGACTTGAATAAATAAGGAAAAGGTTGAAATCAAGGTTTTTGACCTTTGAATCACTTTTAGTTCTTCCTGGTGTCAACTTATCTGATGTTTGGGGAGAGTAAAAAAAAGAAGAAAAAACTTCCAAATAATTAAATCATTTGGGTTGGGTCTACTAATGGACTCAGCACATGTTGTGCTGTAAAGTTGGATGTCACTTTGAGGAGTAAGAAAGCAAGTGCTAGAGTGTGAGCAATTTTCAATTTTCTTAAAGAGTGAAAATTCATTCAGTGAATGTAAAATTTTGTAATTTACAATAATAATTAATACTTGATTCTAATGGTCAAATGTTTTCTAATTGTTTAAATTTCATAGCTTTTATAGTTTTATGTAAATAAAAAATAAAATACATCGAAACAAAGTAATGTGACGATGCTTAATTGGACAAAGAGGGAAAAATGTAGGGTTATAAATCTTAGCACAATCTTGTGTGCCTTGATGCCCACATCTTTTCACAAAATTTGCTGACTCAAAAATTTTATTTGCAAAGTACTTTTTTTCTCATATCTTGTTAATTTTTAGACAGGAAACCAGTCGTCTGCCTAATTGGTCTGTTAGGTGTTTTAAATTTCACATCTTTGTTTTATTATTATTTTTATTTATAAGCAAAACATTCAGATGCTTTGCTCCTTATATATTTAAACTTCAATTTTCTTGTTGTCTGCAGTTGGGTCATGGTGATTATTCTTCTGCGAATACGAAAGTTTTGCGCATGGTAAATACTCTTGCAGTTGATAACGAAGCAAAACAAACTATAGAGGCATTACAAACTGAGTTGCAGAAGACAAAGGAGAAGTTACAGGCTGTTGAAGAGTTGAAGGGTCAATCAGGTATTTTTTTATTTAACTGACAATCTTTTGGTTTTATTATTTTCCATCTATCTTTCTTGTTTGTGGCCCTTGATGTAAAAACAATGGCTAAGAGAAATTTATATGGGAAGTTAGATATGGAGGCATGAGTAGAAAATCATACTACTGGGATGTTGCATAATCTATTTAGCTACCACTAATTGATGTCTGCTTAAATGTAATTGTATTAAAAAATTTGTTATTCCTTAATAATATAGTTTTTTAAGGATGTTGCTGTTCATCATCTAAGCCCTTTGGATCGAACTGTTAATAAATTAGATCTTTTCTCTGATTTGTTGTTTTATCAAGTATATAGGTGATGCTGGAAAATTAGTGGACTCCTATATATCTGGGAAAATAACGCAGCTAAAAGAGCAAATTGCAACTCTTGAAAAGCGTGAAGAAAGGTGAGTAACCCGTTGTAATATATAGGTACTTGATGCCTTATTTAATTGCATTATAACTGAAGCATTTTGATTAAACATGTGGAACAGATATAAGACTGTTTTTGCGGATAGAATCTCAGTTTTCAGGAGAGCTTGTTGTGAACTTTTTGGTTACAAGGTATCATTTTTATTGCCTATTGCTTTCAGTAATTTCATAATATTTTACCTTTGCTTCCATTGGGATCTTGAAGGTTAGTCACCATGGTTGTCAAGTGTTCAATTTGGGGTGTAAACCCCAATCAATAGTAACATCTTGGTGATAGTTTTTTGCTTTTTTTAAGCCCATCGTTTGGTCATGGACTAGAATGCGTGATAGAGAGGAACACTTGTGGATGGTGGATAGTATTTCACCTTAATCTAAACAATTACCAAACATTAATATGTATGTGGTTGGGGGCAGAAGATGTACAAAATGAGTTAGAGAGGATGATCTGCATTGTCTTGACTTGTTCATACGTGTAGGTTCAAATCCTAAACAGTGTTTCGCTTAAGTCTCTGTTACACAGTTGTGCTTTAGGCAGGCAGCGTTTATATACAAGGGCTAAGGATGTTACTTTTTAAATATTGAGTCTACCTAGGATTCCCCTTAACCAAGATCTTCATTTCTTTTAATGTTTATATGCTTTTTGTTTGATTTCTGTGTCAGATTGTAATGGATGAGCATCAGCGTTCTAACGGAATCTCTGTACCACATTTCACTTTGCAATCTATTTATGCTCAAAGTGACGACGAGAAGCTTGAATTTGAATATGAATCAGGGAATACAAATGTTCTGGTAAGATGGTGAATAGTGTTTAAATTCAGATGTCTGATAAATTGCCGGTGTTGTCTCCAATATACATCTTTTGGGGTTTGAATTGAGGGATTCCTGGCTTTTAGGTATATTTTGTGCCTTTATTGCCTTGTGATGAGAACCCACTCCTAAAACTCNGTTTGGTCATGGACTAGAATGCGTGATAGAGAGGAACACTTGTGGATGGTGGATAGTATTTCACCTTAATCTAAACAATTACCAAACATTAATATGTATGTGGTTGGGGGCTGAAGATGTACAAAATGAGTTAGAGAGGATGATCTGCATTGTCTTGACTTGTTCATACATGTAGGTTTAGTCAAATCCTAAACAGTTTTTCGCTTAAGTCTCTGTTACACAGTTGTGCTTTAGGCAGGCAGCGTTTATATACAAGGGCTAAGGATGTTACTTTTTAAATATTGAGTCTACCTAGGATTCCCCTTAACCAAGATCTTCATTTCTTTTAATGTTTATATGCTTTTTGTTTGATTTCTGTGGCAGATTGTAATGGATGAGCATCAGCGTTCTAACGGAATCTCTGTACCACATTTCACTTTGCAATCTATTTATGCTCAAAGTGACGACGAGAAGCTTGAATTTGAATATGAATCAGGGAATACAAATGTTCTGGTAAGATGGTGAATAGTGTTTAAATTCAGATGTCTGATAAATTGTCGGTGTTGTCTCCAATGTACATCTTTTGGGGTTTGAATTGAGGGATTCCTGGCTTTTAGGTATATTTTGTGCCTTTATTGCCTTGTGATGAGAACTCACTCCTAAAACTCAACAAAACAGTAAAATAATAATAACCAACAGTCAAGAAATAGGAAGAAAATAGATATGTGTATTGATATTCAACAAACTGATAACAATGGCAGCAAATAACAAAATATACCCAGCATATCAACCCAAAAGGACAAAAACCCATGGAAGTTTTCTGCCAACATCCCTTCAATCCACTGTTTGCTATCTTATTTCATTTTTCTTATCCCCTCATTATCCTGGTCCCATCACCTTGAAAGGTTATTAATGTCACAAGTATATTTTGGGAAATGCCGAAAATTGTGGTTGAACTTTTTCTCTTTTATATTTAAATTAATTTTAATAAAAAAAATATATAAAGAATTTTACAAGTGCCATATTTATTTTATTTTATTTTCCAGGTGAACAATTACACATCGCAGCCCGAGATTTCTCGCCAGGTATGAAACATAACTTTTTCCTGCCCCCTTTTTTTTTTTTTTTTTTTTAAATTTTACGTTTGCAAATACACACGTATTTTGTGAACTCGGTAGAGTATCACTTTTCTTGTATCTGTTCTGTCCGTAAAATATGTTGTACACGTACCAGGAACTGTGGTATCTCCAATGACCTCTATAAACGATTTTCTTTTTATTTTTTTAGTATTCTGAGTAATATTACTATATACATATTTCCCTTTCTTTTTCGGTTACACATCTAAATCTTTTTTATTTTTTGGCAGATCGACATATTTGTTCGGAAGATGAACTCAATTCCAGCTTTCACTGCTAACTTAACAGTGGAGTCGTTCAACAAGCGAACTTTATCGTAAGACAAATATAAATTTAGCAGTAGACCTGGAGTATTTTTTATTTTATTTTATTTTTTTCCGATCTCAAAAATTGTATATTTTTCACCTTAAGTTACATCTCCTTACATTTCTTTGATTGAATGTTATTTTGTACTCTTTCAATTGGATTGTATAGTACTAAAACTCAAAATAGTCTAATGTGATGCACTCGAAATCGTCCTAGGGGGGATCTTCGATTTTGCGCGAGAATATTTCCTTTTCATCTTCCAACATCCATTCGAAGTTTTTATCTCTACTGTCAAACTTAGTACCACAAGGATTTTAGGGTTTCAATCTTGTACAAGAAGGAAACTATTTCATCCGTGTCCTTCTTCCATCTTCCAGAAGCTATTTGTGAAGAGTACTTGTCTCACGGGGCTGTGAGTGTAACTGGTACTGTGGTTGCAGCAGCTTGAAATGAGGATTGTGGTTCAAGGTTAAGCAATGTTTTATTTTGTCTCAAGTTTTTGAATTAGGGTTTATAAGCATGGCTGTGGGCATCGAGTTAAAAGGGTAGAATATTGTAACTCAAATTTTAGATCACGTCCCATTTATTGCATATATATATATAGTAAAACCTTTTTATAGGGATACTCTATATAAAGATAAAATCTACATAGTCATAAAAAATTTTAGTCCTTATATATATATATATATATATAGTAAAACCTTTCTATAGGGATACTCTATATAAGGATAAAATCTATATAGTCATAAAAAATTTTAGTCCTAATTTAGGATAATTATAAATAAGAATAACCTCATATTGCAATAAGTTATAATTTTTCTAATTTCCGTCTTAAGGAAAGTTGCATTCACATAGTTATAATTATCTGTATATTATTAAAAAATATATGTTATGTTACATTAAAGATTTAAGATGAAATAAAATATTTATTTAAAGTTGTTTGAGATAATGATTTATATTTTAGAGTTGTTATCATATTTTTTACCTCACTAGTATGTAATAACTTGCTAACATGGACACCTTTTTGTTGAAGCCAAAATATTTTTAGCTTCTTAAGCATGTTTAGAGTTTCATGACACGAAACTTTTTGTATTTTTGTACTATCATCTTTAGTATTATTTCCTTCATCTTTTTGTCTAATTGTAGCAATGGTTTCTTCTTCGGTTAAAGCATTAACGATTTGTTACTCATTTGGATAATCGAGGAAGACAATATCCATTCGATTAGTGTAGTGAAATTGTCAAATTTGATCACTCAATTTTGCAATGACTCTTTTATTTTTCTCGTCCACTTCATCTGTAACTTGCAATTTATCGAAATCGGGGGTCCTAATTTTGTAATGCTTAAAACCATTGGCAATTGTCTGTGGCTTCACATTAATTGATCATGCATCAATTGCATTTATAGTTCCATCAATGACATTTATCTTTGCTGGTTCCAAGACACGGTCTTTTATCCATTTCAAAAGTAGGCAATTCAAGGGCTGAATTGAAATTCTAATACTACTAAAATATGAATTGAAATCCTAATACTGTACTACTAAAACATGAATTAAAAAATAAGAAATTAAAACTATAATTTTTGTAACTACACCTCTATTAAATTATAACCTCCTTATAGTAATAAAATTAGTTAGTCTCACCATTATGACTATAGAGAGATTTTATTATATATATATTAGTGGGATTAGATTAATTTATTACTATAAGGATATTATAAATTAACAGATGTGTAGTTATCAAAATTACTGTTTTGATTTCTTATTTTATAATTCACGTTTTAGTAGTATGTATCAGAATTTTAATTAATTGTTTTAGCAGTATTAGGATTTCTTGTTTACTTTTAGTATTACTGTTTTTTTTTTTTTTTTTAATATTTCATGTTTTAGATAAATATTTTATTTTATCCTAAACTTATAAATGTAACATAACATATTTTTTTTTTACAATATACATATAACTATTGCTATGTGGAGACAACTTTTTAAGACGGGAATTAGAAAAATTAGAAAAAGTAAAGCTTATTATAATGTAGAGTTTATTCTTATTTATAACTATCTAAAGTTAGAATTAAAATTTTTTATGATTACATAGAAGTTATTTCTACGTAGAGTAAAGATTTTAATATATATATAAAACTCATAAAAGTTTGAATTAGAAAAAGGAAGAATGGTAGATTTGTACTGGTATATATGTGTGTGTGTGTGTGTGTGTGTGTGTGTGTGTGTGTGTAAGTTTTGTAGCCATTCAGACGCAGCCACGTCGCACGTTGACGTAAGCGGCATGTTCCTGCCAGTGCAGTGGGTGTGCGCCAGGCTGGAGAAGATCCACGTGTCCAATCCCTGCAAACGTCGAGTAAATCACTCGAGCAGGTGAACAACGGGACACAATGAAGGATTTGCACGGCAATCTGACCCACTCCCTGATTTAGTAATCATTACCTCAATTCATCCCACTATAAATAAAGGGATCCTCTCCCATTTGTGGGATTAGTTAATTTCTCTCTGGAATAGCATATATACTCTCTCTCTTTCTCCCTTGTAACATCTTGTAAGTCAGCTCGTTGAACGCGACCTGATCTCAAATATATTAATACGATACTTGTGGACGTAGGATTCACTTTCTTAAGCATCTGAACCACTTTAAACACTGTTCTTCTTCTTCTATTTAGTTCAATACCCCCTTACACGTGTGTCTTCTAAGTCAGCTCAACATTTCCCACGTGCGTTTAGTTGGTGTCAAAATCTCGCATCAACAATTTGGCACTAGAAGGAGAGCCTGATTTAGTATTCGTCCTTCATCAGGAGAATCTCTGACTAATCAGTCCCACCAACAGTAAATGGCTCGCAGATTCGAACTTGAGCGAACCAATCATGGTGAGGAAGAGATCCCCTAAGTACAAGAGGGCACTTCTTCTAAAGTGCCTCCAGCCCCACAAAATCTCGTAAGGGATATCCCTTCGAGCTCACGGCTTGATCCAACCATCATAAGCTACCTGGAGAGGTTCAACAATACTTTCCAAACGGTCAACAAAAGGCTGGACCGCTTGAATCGGGTTACGCCACCCGAATCAAATAGAGTGATGCCACCGTAAAAAAAGCCTGCAGGTTGCATGAAAGTGCGGAAAAGGGTGATAGCCCGTGCCATGCGTACTGCAATGCGTCAAAGAAAGGGAAAACAGGTGGCGAACAGCGGGCTGAAAGGCTCCGAGGGACCAGCAAACATCGATCGCACCCCGGGTAGAATACCCGTGGCGCGCAAATTTGGTGACATGTCGCAGCCCGAGCTGTCTCGTGCCACGTTGCGCGAGCACTCCCACAAAAGTGCAAGGCGGGGAGATTCCTATTATCGCCAAAATGACAACTCCGATAGTTGTCGCGTGGGAAGTTCCCACCGTTCGCGGGTTGGTTCGCACCACTGTGGAGGTCGGGAAGGTTCCCCGGACAATTCAACGCCATCGCACGGCTCTAGCCAGCGTGCGTTAGAGCAGCTGGAACTGCCAGCCGAGGAGAGAAGGAATCCGAACTTCAGACTTTCCTCAACCGCAACTGTGAGGGTTGAACCCGCGTTGGGGAGAGCAATCCCCAGATGGCTCCGCTACCTCAGATTGAAGGGTTATAGAGAGCTCTAGATCAACTAAAGGCTCAGCAAAATGAGCGAGGGCAGGTCGCAGAGGCGTCTCCCTTCTCTACGGCTGTGTTAGTCGTCCCTCTCCCATCCAGATTTAGAATGCCCGATATGCGGGCGTTCGATGGGAATTCTGATCCGCAAGATCATTTGTACGAATTCAACGACCTGATGGAACTTCACCAAGTTTCTGACTTGGCAAAATATTGATGCTTGGTAGTAACTCTTACATCTCATGCCAAGCGATGGTTGAGATCGCTCCCGGCGAGATAATCAGCTCGTGGAATCAAATGAGCTCGACATTCTTGAGACACTTCCAAGCGAACAGGAAGTTCTCAACGCCTTTGAGCTACCTCAGCAACATAAGGCAAGAGAGGGATGAATCCCTCCAATCTTACATCGACAGATTCCACAGAGAGCTCCATAAAGTAGCTCACACTCTCGAAGAGTCTGTTCAGACTCTCATCATCGCGGGAGTTCGTCCACAAATAGATTTGTGGAAGGAGCTGCAATCAGAGGACGATGTTTCTCTCACCCGCTTCTACAGTCTTACATAGAAATACCTCCATATTGAGAACTCCGTGGCAGAGCTCAACCGCCACGACCCCAGTCCTTCAGGTAGTATGCCAGGTCGGGGGGAAAATAGGAGGGTTGATCGTCGATGGGCTAACGATGATCAGTGAAAAGGAAAGAAACAGCGGTTTGAGCCCAAGAAGTCTTATACTCTAGTTACTCGTCGCGATCGCAACAAGAATCAATATACCCCTTTGAATGCATTTGTCTCGGCCATTCTTGACAAGTTAGAAGAGGCTGGCCTGCTTAGAGAACTTAAGCCCATGAAAAATCCCCCTTCAGCTAGAAACAGTAAAAAGTACTGTCGTTATCATCGGGACAATGGGTATCACACCGATGAGTGCCGGACTCTCAAGCAGGTAATCGAAGACTTTATCAAACAGGGGCATTTCAAAGAGCATGTTGATGACTTTGCTCTCGTAAGGGAGAAAAATCAAGAGGAACCAGGTAAGAAGCATCGTGATCGCAAGGGTATCTGTAGCGTAGGGATAATTTTTGGGGGACCACACCTCGGGGGAAACTCGCTAGGTGCCCAAGAAAGATATGCTCGCGCAGCTCTTCATGACCCTATCCGTGTGATGAACATGACGCAACGACCATCAAAGGTTCGTAAAGAGGAGGAAATCACATTCTCTGAAAAAGACACAGTCTGATTGCATTATCCCCACGACGATGCTCTCGTCATCAGGCCTCAAATAGGGCGCTGCGACGTCCACAGAATGTTGGTGGACAACGGAAGCGCTGTGAACATCTTGTTCCAGTGAGCTTTCGAAAGGATGAAATTGGATGATGCCGACCTGAAGCCCGCCTCTATCCCCCTATATGGTTTTACAGGGGATCACCTGATCCCTAAAGGAACAATCTCGCTTCCAGTCACGCTGGGTGGCTCCAACGAGGTGACCAGGGTCATTGAATTCTTGGTAGTGGATTGCCCCTCCGCTTTCAATGGCATCCTAGGGCGACATCTACTAAGAAACTTCAAGGAAATCACTTCGATCTACCATCTCAAGATGAAGTTCCCCACCCCGACGGGGATAGGGGAAGT